TTTAAAGTTCTATAATGACCTTTTCATTTGGCCTGAGTCATTAATCCAAGCATAGCAAGATATATCAGATACTGCACAGATGTCACCTGAGGAGGAAGTCTAAGGCAATTCTTTCATCCATAGCAACCCTGTTTAGTAAGCTGAAGCTGACCTTAATTCCTTCCAAGGCCAAGGTAGTGTAACTTATAACTACAGCTAAATTTTGCTACTCTTCCTAATTGGATAACTTCTGTTATCAGAATAACTGCCCTGAAAGTGTACATAAATAATGCATCCATTATCATTCTAGGGAGATCCCTCCAGCAACTAAGAATTGCTTCACTTTGAATACATATATAGAGAGAGAGAATCATTTGAAGGTCACATGATCTATTTCCTTAAAGATTTGAAGATCTTATGTTTTGCTCTTAAGGGTGTTGTCAGGAGAGACAGATTAACTCTTGGCTTCCACCCAGGAAATAAAGTCCTAAGGACACACAAGGTGCCCCTAGAAAGAAAACATTGTTTACAATGCTCAGCCTTCCCAAGTAGGACATATTCATTCAGAGAGCAGAGGTGACAGTTCCTTCAACGTGGACTCTAGGCAAGCTGATGAGCCTTAGAACCCCTAGTTCAGTTTAAAAAATTGAAATCTAATCCCTGATTTTGAAGGGATTGCCTCAAGGTTGTCTGTCCAAACTATTCTATTTGTCTTTGCCATCAGGTAGGGGGTACTGATCACCCCATAGAATGACTAAGCAATAGCTGTGGGAATGGAGATGTGGAAGACATCTGGTAGTATTAACCGGTGTTTTGAATGGAAGATATGGAAGCTGGGTTATCCACTGCTTTTTCTGGTAGACTCTTGCTAAGGTGAAGAGAAATGACAATCAAGATCATGGATGGAACCATTCGGAAAGAAAAGCAGATTCAGCAGTTTCACCATTTAAGGTATTTGCAACATTTTAGGAGACTACTCAGGCGTATTCCTTCCTGAAGAAGAATCCAGGTGTCACACTGAAAGACAAAAGATTGTTAGAGATCCTTCCTCCCAACTCCTAATGTCTCAGGTGTTCTCACCCCAGATGCTGGGATTGCTTTCTATCCCACAAAACCAGTTTGCCTCATTTCAGTAACTATAAATCACCCTTTCCTAAGCATCTCTGTTCACACTTAGACCTTTAATCCCAGAGTCCAATGTAAAAGGGATAAGCCATTTTTATAAAACTTAGAGATTCATTATGCTACCCACTTTGGCCTGCATGAACAACTCAGCAGTTCACAAAGCAGTGTACTTACCAAGTAGTGACTGGCCTCATGAATCTGGGTCATACAAATCCAACAATATTCCAAATGGTTGAACCAGAATTTGAGTGTGACATTCCTAGGTCTCTTTTGACTAGATTTCCAATCCACTGGTCTGAGGATGCCCTTAGTGAATTGAAAAGCATCATACCCAGGAATGGTCAGGAAGAAATCCCAAATTTTAAAACAGCAATAGATCATCCTGATCATTAACCATGAAATGGCTAAGCACAACCACATTCCATAATCAGATGAGGAATCCACAATCAGAAATCTATTTGATTTCAGGAGTGGCAGCACACAAAAATAATCCCAACAACTCAGGAGGCTGAGGCAGGAGGGTTGCCAAGTTCCAGCCCAGCCTAGAAAATGTAACAAAAACCTACTTCAAAATAAAATATAAAAAGGGCTAGGAATGTAGCTCAGTGGTAGAGTGCCCTGGGTTCAATTCCCAGGGAAAGAAAGAAGGGAAATTTTTATTTTTCAGTTCTAGGGCTGTAGGAAGCCATTCTCAAACGTGATTGGGCACCTCCCTGATTGGGTGTGAGGCGTTCTGGCTAAACTGTGTCGGAACTAACCCCCACCCTCTCTAGGTGGGAGAGCCTGTCCGTGTGGGGGTGTGACTGACCATTGACCCTGAGACCAATCACTGACCCTGACCTTGGAATGCTGTCCCCCTCAACCTTCATTGGATGGAATTTTCCCCTGAATTTCTTGTTCCCCAATAAAAGGCCACTCCCTGGTGTACTCTCTCTCTCTCTCCTGCTAGTCCTGAGTAAGCCTCACTGCCCCACCGGGTGGCTCGAGGCAGGAGCCAGAGGGAGGGCCATCTCAGACCTGGTCAAAGAAAAAGGTAAATTGAGTTTGTGTTTATTTTGATCTCACTAGTTAACTTCTATGCTACGAACCTCTTGTATGAAGCCAGCATGCTGGTCACGCAGCGGAATTGGGCCATTTAAGGACTACAATAGTATGGCTAGGATCTACTGCAGTCTGGAACAGCAATATTGTAACGGGGGAAAAAGGGTCACCTGAAAAAGTGTCAACAGCAGTGATGCACAAGGAATGCTACTGAGAGGTCAAAGGACTGATATATCAGCAAGCACAGTGTAGGGAAATGGAGGTGATGGCTCTCTATGTGACACACACAACCACGGCCATCCTCCTACACACCCCACACACATGGCAACACTTTCACAGGTCTGGTGCACAGGTAGCCTCTGAATCACAAACTAGATCCCTTGTGCCATACCTACAATGGTGGACAGGTTGCCGTGTCCAGTAGGATGATGGATCTAGGCAGTAATGATGGCTAGTATAGCTTATCAGCAGCTAGTACCAGAGAATTGATCCTTACGGGGGGGGGGGCACTTACATGAGTAACAAACAGTTTAATTAATGTATTATGTAATATTCTTATCTCATTTTGGGACCCAAAAGAAGGGCATCTTTAACCTACCAGTCTGAAACCAAATCCTAGGCCATTGGCTATAGCCCAGTAGTCAGTAAAAATATAACAAACTTTTGCAAAAAGGTATATAGGCCAGGACTGTGAGAACAGTTTCAAGTTCTGCATAGTGAACAGAACAATGCCCACATTTGATTCTGCTGACATAGCTCTAAGGCTGAGCAGTGGCTACAGTTCAGTAGACAACATCAGGGTTGAGCTTCTGAACTAACAGTAAACTACTCCCAGGCATTTATGGTAAACTTTATGAATTGAAGTCCCCATTGAACCAGCAATTTTGCCTCAGGCAGCAGAATAAGCAATGAAATATCCAGAGCAGAACAGAGGCCACTTTTTCATGTAATACTGAGAAGTTGCTAGAACCAGATCAGCTATATTCTTGAAAATGACATTTCCATTTGACAGTGACTTTCTTTGGCCCTTGCTCACCTTGTCTTGAGTCCAGTTGACTCACCTAAAAAAATGGGACTATCATGCAGAGTGACAAAACCTCCATGTATCAGTTTCGAGAAGAGCCCGGAGGCATGCTAATGGATGCTTTTCAAAAGTGGGATATTTCAAAGACATATAAGAGGGACAAACAGTCAAAATCTTCAAAGGGTGCTTCCAGATAAAGGATGCTTCTTTTTTTACCAGCAAAATGGTAAAGTCATAGTCAAAAACTTGTAGCTCAAAGGAGTTGTTCTAGTTGTTGGGACCCAAAGGTACAAACATTTCTCTATGTACATAGAGAATTATAAGGATCATCTCTGGCACTTACAATCATTCAAAGTATAGGCATGTAAAACAAATATCAATTATGCATTCATGTAAAAGAAATAGTACACTAAGGCCTCAAGCAACAAGGTCACACTAATTTCCCTTTGCCACTGTAACTGTTGCTCAAATCCAATCAATTGAACAAAGATGCCCCATCATCCCACAGGGAAAGCTAGTGCCTTGTATAGCTATATCCAATAGAGCCGTAAGTTTTAATTTCTCCCCTTTGCAAAAATTCTCCAACACACTTGAGCAGGTATGCAATGGGTCTCATTTGTAACCATCTTTCTCCTTCATGAAGCTCAGGTTAGGATAGAACACAAGGGAGAGACTGGGAGGACAGAGAAAAAGAGCAGCTCTCTTTAATGAAACTTAAGTTTCAAGTTCAATTTCCATTTCAAATTGCCACTCATTCATGGCTTACCTGAATTAGCTTCCAAGGTTTTCAAAACACCCAAGGTCTTTGCTGAATAGTATGGTCCTCCCTGCGGACACTATTTACTTCAACTTTCAGGATTCTTCGGCTGAGCAGCCATAGACACACTTCCCTTAGTCAAAGGCGGTAGAGCCTATTGTCCCACTGTGATAAGATCCCTTCTACCAGCAAAGAATGAGCAGCCACCAAGGCACCATTTAGGAAGCTTGTTTCCTTCCTTCTCACTACAACAAACAGACTATTGGGGGATCCTTTTTCTCCTAACTCACCCAATACTTGGACAAAAGCATTTATCACTGAATCCTAGGAGTTGTCACCTCTCCAAATCTCATTTGCAAGACCATTATTCTTCCTTTTCCAGATGACCACATCTGCCGATATCCCATCCTCACCACCAAAACTGACAATTGTGGAGGGTCGGAAATTTTACTCTACTCACAAGCCAACAAGTTAGCCTGACAGATGCTGGCAGAAAATGTGAGATTCCAAGGTCAAAGACAAAGGACTTTATTAATCAGAGCAATAGCCAAAGTATTAAAATTTTCTTATTTTTGGTTCCCAAGCCCCAATTCCCAAGGGGCAATATAACCTGCATAAGCAGAAGGTTGCATTACAGGAAAAGAATTCTGAGTACAGGGAACCTAAATCTTTTTAAATGTCCTTTCCTCCAGGAAGAGAAATCCTCTATCTTACAAGGATCTAAACAAACCTACCCTTTGCTCTGGAGGAGATGTATCCATCTTCTTCATCTTTATCCTTGAAAAAACACCTGAATTAAGGTAGTCAGTACCTCTTCTTACAAGATATTCAGAAAGACAAGCAGGCCATGAAGAAAATTATCTAATAAATACTTTATTTTAAACAAAGAAAGTGGAAATTATCTCCCCATTTTTTTATTTACCAACCAACAAACTAGCCATTTGAGAATATACTTCCCTGATCACCTTTCAATGGACATTCTTCTATTTCTGTCTAAACTTTCTCAGGATTTCATGTAAGACTAAACTTATCTTCCACATATCTCACAGACAAAAAAAAAAAAAAACTCAATCATCAGCTATGCAACAGAAATTTAATGGATTTCAGCAGAGTGAGGACAAATTAAAAAGTTCTGAGGACCAGGTAGAGAATCTAGTACCCACCTAAATAGTGATTCTCACTTTATCCTATCTTCAACACACCAAGGGATATTAGGTATCCACTTATCAGTAGTTCTTTTTTTTTTTAATAAGTTGTTGATTAACCTTTATTTATTTATTTATATGTGATGCTGAGAATTGAACCCAGTGCCTCACACATGCCAGGCAATTGCTCCCCGACTGAGCTACAACCCTAGCCCTATCAGTAGTTCTTTTGGGGGGACAACAGAGGAATGGCAAATTTGAACATTAATTCAACAAATCCCAAGTTAAATCTTCAAATTCATTATTTGACCTGAAAGAGTATGAATACAGCTCATAAAACCTTAACCAATTTTTTTAACTACTTTAAAACTAAACAGTAACATATAATCCATATTGGGTTTATATTATATTATCCAATCTAATTGGGATGATACAGATGAGCTCTTAAAAGAAAAAAAAACTCAAGTGTTGCATATTATTTGAGGCCTCTGAATTGGAAAGCACTTCAAAATTCTAGCCTTTAAAATCTAGGGCCAACAATACCTGCAGTCTTTAAAATTAGCAAAACTTATGCTATCTTAAAATATATAATCTAACTTATACTCACTTGCTTCTCTGATCCTCCACAGCAATCAACTCAGAAATACAACTACTAGATCAATATTAAACCATGGAAAAAAGACATGCCACTACATTAGCTGATTTTTCTTCTCTTTGAATTTAATGAGCTTACATCAAAAAATTAGGTAGTCATTTTACATTTAAGGAATAAAAATCTTAAAAAAAAATACAAAGAGTGAAAGAATTTTAACCAAATTTACACTTCTTTTTGCTGCTATAGTTTTTAACAATTCATCTCATCACATCTTATTGCAATGTGCAAATGCATTTGCAGCACCCATTACAATCATGAAAACTAAATTCAAGGAAGTACATATACTGTTAATAGTGGCCCTTGGAGGAAACTGATTTACCTTCTATTAAAAACTCTACAGTATATACAAGCATTACATAATAATTCTACTTATCCATCTGTTGTCAAGAATCATCACCAAAGTTTTCTAGAAATAAGTCTACATAATGAATAAATATCTAAAAGGTAAAGTGTTCCTTATTTTAATTTTAGCAAGATCTTTTACTTTTCATTGCTAAGAAACACTTGAATAGTTTTAAAGCAAAAGCTGTTAAGAGTCTAGATAGCTAAACTGTACTCCTGAGTTCAAGCTTACAGAAGTCTTTTGTAAGTAGTTCTTCAATAAAATATCCTCCCTCCCACGCCCCTGGCCCCAAATCGTGTATTGTTTCTTACAAAACTTTGGTCAAGAGTAAAAATATATCCAGGCAGATGTATATGCCATACAATAGCAAGAACAGTAGAGCCCAACTAATGACTTTGGGTTTTAAAAATAGAAGGCAATTAAAATGTACTCAAAGTTACATTAAGAAAAGCTTTCACAGGATAATATTGAAACAGTCACAAAGGTTAAGAAAATACTGATATCAAAGTACAAATGACTACAATGTTAAAATAGACAAAAACTACTATACAAGAGCCTCTTTTAAAATTAAAAATAAAGAACACAACACATGAGTCAGGATGATTTTCCTGTTCTACTCATGGATCTTAGTCTCTGTATTTATAAGGTTGGTTATGTTGACATCTGGTAGAGTTTCTTATGACATCTGATGAAGTCTCATTCCAACTTCATAGGGTGGATCTTCCCCAAGGAACCTCTAGATCCTGGTTACATCGTGGTCATTGAACAATCTCAAAGTAGTGTAAAATCGCCATGATGTGCTGGGGCATGAAGACGTATCCAGTGTACAGTGCCATCCCCACAACGGAAACCAGCATGGAATCTGAGTTTTAGTTAAGGAAACTTATTATTTTTCTTAGTTTATTTAAAACAAAATCACACAACTTCTTCAATAACCATTTCATGTTTAAGTAATCATTCGCTTAGTACTTCTCATTTCTATGCCAGCCTCAGCAACTTAGTGAGACCCCACCTGGTAGTAAAGTGTCTTTGGGTTCAATGCCAAGACACAGGAAGAGAAAAGAAGAAGAGAGAAGAAAGGGAAGGAAAGAAGGAGGAAGAAAGAAGAAGACAGATAATATGACTGAAAGTACTGACAATGGAGTTAGAAAAAGCTACAAGTCAATTATATACTTAGTGACATAACAAAATGATAGCATCAATCACTTATTATTATCACTATTAAACATTATTATTACTATTGCTACTATCTGCAACAGCTTCAAGCAAAAAAATCACGTTGGGGGCTGGGGAGATTGCCTGGCATGTGTGAGGTACTGGATTTGATCCTTAGCACCACATAAAAATAAAATAAAAGCATGCTGTTCATCTACAATCACAAAAAAAAAAATTAAAGTCATCTTGGTAACCTATACAATAACCATTATTCACTTTGTTTCTGCTCATTTCAGAAGGAACTAAAAAGTAGCAAGTCAACAAGGGTCCCCTCTCCAGAGCCTCACAAAATATTGCTAACAAAAATCATGTAAAATCTGGGCTGGGGTTGAACCTACAGTGGTAAAGTGCTTGCTTTGCACACATGAGGCCCTGGGTTCGATCCTCAGCATCACATAAAAATAAATAAAGATACTGTGTGTTCATCTACAACTAAAAAAAAAAAATACAATAAATAAATAAATAAGATATTGTGTAAAAACAAATCATGTAAAACCTAAGGGCTTTTGACTTTTCAAAGTCAAGAAGGAATGCTAAAAGAAATAACTGCTTCTGAACTATGGCCATGTTTCATTAATTCACTCATTCATACTCATTTATTCTCTCTCCTTTTTTCCCTCCCTCCCTCCCTCTCTCCCTCATAAGCCTTTCAGTTCTACATACTAGTATTCTATAATAACTTACATTCTTATAAGAAGATAGGGTTTAAATAAACAATGTGCTTACTACTAGCTAATATTTGTATAACAGTTTCATTGACAAATATTCTTCACATAACATTATCGTGCTTAACTCTATGGCTTTCCTATGAAATATTTATTATGGTTATTACTCACCAGAGGTTGAGAAAACAGAGTGACTTATCTCGGGGCATGCAGAAAAGTGTGTTTAGAGGTCAAACCAAGGTTCAAACCTTAAATTCTTCACCTCATTCAGAAAACATGCCAAGTCCATAATCAAAATTTATACTTTAATTTGTCCTAATCCAGTTCTATTTACCACCTTAAAACAAACATACAAAAAAATTATACACTTGCTGCTTCCCTATCATTATCACATATTTAGCTGGACAACCATTTGAGTTCTGCCCTTCCAGGCTGTGGACATCACTCTACGATCACCAGTGACCTACTGTCAAATCCAGTGGCTTTCTGAATTAACACTAGGCACTTCTCTAGGTCTCTCTTCCCTCTCTATCACCATTTTTCCTGTGTCACTGGCTCTTTTCTCCTGACTGTCCCTTATGTATAAGATTGGAGTGAAGTTTGTACCTTTCTTCCATACACTGCACCCTCCTCCTTGAATACAATCATGCTTTTGTTTTTGTTTTTGTTTGGGGGTGGGGCAGGGGTTTGCTCATGGTACCAAGAAATGAACCCCGTGGCCACGGAACTATATCTCCAACCCTTTTAATTTTTTGTTTTGAGATAGAGTCTCACCAAGGTGCCAAGGCTGGCCTCAAACTTGAGATCCTCCTATCTCAGCCATCTAAGTAGCTGGATTATAGGCATGCAGCTAATCATGCCTAACCCTATTGTATCTTTGGGGATAAGCCCTGATTGATCTTTTTATTTTTTTAATTTTTTTTTTAGTTATAGATGGACACAATATCTTTATTTATTTATTTATTTAATGTGGTACTGAGGATCCAACCCAGTACCTCACATATGCAAGGCAAGTGCTCTATTCCTGCGCCACAACCCCAGCCCCCTGATTGATATTTTTTTTTTGAATTTTTAATATTTATTTTTTAGTTCTCGGTGGACACAACATCTTTGTTGGTATGTGGTGCTGAGGATCAAACCCGGGCCGCATGCATGCCAGGCAAGCGTGCTACCGCTTGAGCCACATCCCCAGCCCGGCCCCTGATTGATCTTAACCAATTAGAATATCCCCTTCTCTTGACAGCAATAGCTTCCTCAAAACTGATTAGCTCAAAGCTTAGGACTTCTGCCAGGAATTCAGGAACCAGCTGCTCTCTCCCCCTCTAGAATATGCAGTTTGCAAATGGAATCCTGGAATCAATGGAATCACCTTTCCTTCCTGAGGAAAGAAGACTCAGAACGTTAGATTTTTCTTTGTTACACAGAGCTGAAAGCATTCTAAATGATAAAAATGGGGCTTCCAGGGTTCTGCCTTGAGCCCTGTACTCCCTTACAACTAAAACCACCACCTTAGTGTTGTTGACCTGACCCCATCTTCCACACAACTGACAGACATTTCCTACTTAACTTACTGAACATTTCCACCATATGACATTCCACAGGACACCTTAAATTCAAGACAGCCCAAACTAAACTCATTAACTCCAAAACTACCAGTTTCTATGAGTTCTATTTTTTCAGTTCATATAACTATTTACCTACTCATTTGCTCAGAGGCATCTTTGATTTCTTTTCCTCATATTTAAAGTGTCTTAAGAGCTCATTTCTTCCGTAACCCCTACGAGTGACTCTTATATCTTATCTCCCCTCCCCCAATCAATGACAACTGATTGAGACATTTATCATTCCTTACTTAGATCACGTAAAAGTTCCCTCCAGGAGTGGTGGTACATGAAGGCTGAGGCATGAGGATCACAAGTTCAAGGCCAGCATTAGCAACTTAGTGAAGCCCTAGCAACTTAGGGAGACCCTCTCTCAAAGAATAAAAAGGACTAGTGCTTCCAAATCTCAATCCCCAGGACAAAAAAAAAATTCTCCCATTTTTGGCTTCTTGCCCCTCTTTACTAAAGTGAATTTTGTGAAATTCATGAGGCTTCCCATTGCCTAGAGGATGGCACCTAGAATTATAAAGCAAGCATTCAAGAACCTTTACAATCTAGACCCAGGTGTTTATCTTATGTGGAAGTTCACAGCGATAGAAGAGACTGAGGAACTGATCTCAGAAGAAGAGGAGCAAGTAGAATAGAATAGATCAAGGGGAATAAACTAAGCTGGGATGGGGTCTTAGTTTCTGCAGGGCACTCAAGAGCATGCACTGTGCTACTAAGTTGGCATGGCCTCAAGTGAGGGGCCTGAGCTTTTGGATCCCTTTTCTATGAATCATTAACTACAGAATGGGGTAAGGAAAATCCACTTGAGCAAGAAAGCTCACTTAGCAGAAGACAATGCTTGAGAAGAGTCAGCTATAAGACATGAGCAGACAACACTCACGGGAGCTGGTGGATAGGTACATCAGCTGGTAAAGGGGGATCAGACCAATCACATCTACCATGCTGCTTTTCTTTTTTTTCTTTTGGAACCATGGATTGAATCACTGAGCCATCCCCAGTCCTTTTTGTTTTTGTTTTTGTTTTTTTATTTTGAGATACACATCCTACTCATAGCCAAGTTATATGAATCTCAATGCATTTTCTTTTTTGTTTTGGTGCTAGGGAGTGAACCCAGGGGTGCTTTACCACTGAGCTACAACTTTTTTTTTTTTTTTTTTTTTATTTTTTTAGTTGTAGTTGGACACAATACCTTTATTTTATTTATTTAGTTTTATGTAGTGTTGAGGATCATAGGGCTCATTAAGTTGCTAAAGATGATCTCAAATTTGCAATCCTCCTTCCAGTGTCCCAAGCCACTAGGATCAAAGGCATGTGCCACCACACCTGGCCTCAATATATTTTCATACTCCTCTGACTTTGCTTACAATCTAATCATAATGAATAACAGTGGTAGCAACAGCTTTCATTCCATGAATGTCTAATATGTGTTAAGCACTTCATTCAATTCAAATAACATCCTCAATGTCAAAGTAAGTAATGAAGCCAGTTCCAAAAAATCAGTTAGGTTCCAAATATCTGTGCTCTTAACAACTAAACTATACTATCTTCCTACTTCTGAAAAGTCCTAATCTCCTTAGGTAAACCCAGTAATTCTTAGAACTCAGTTAGTTAACTCCTGTTTTGAGGCCTTCCCAACCACTCAAAATTTTTCCATCCTTACCCCAACCTCCTGGCAGAACTAATTACTTCCTTATGTTTACATAGCTCTTTATTCATGAAAAACAGCACTTATCGCCCCTCATGACCTATTTGCAAGTATATTTATCTCACCTTAATTAGCAGTTCCTTGAACACAGAAACATATTATTTTTGTATCTTTAGCATCTAAAGTAACACATGCTTAATAAATATTTTATGAATAAGAAATTTCTCAAGAAATATTCACTTGATCCTATATTTACTATTATTAATTATATGGATTATAGGTTCTACATAATTCATACATTTTGGGGGGGGCGGGTACTAGGGATTGAACTCAGGGACCCTCGACCACTGAGCCACATCCTCAGCCCTATTTTGTATTTTATTCAGAGACAGGGTCTCAATGAATGGCTTAGTGCCTTGAACTTGTTGAGGCTGGCTTTGAACTCACAATCCTCCTGCCTCAGTCTTCCAAACCACTAGGATTATAGGCATGCACCACCATGCCCAACCCATAATCCATATATTTTGTAGCTGGCAAACTTGATGACTACAAAAAAGAAAACAAATCAGTGTCTAGGCAATATTGTATTTAAGAATACTTTGGGGGGCTAGGGCTGTGGCTCAGTGGCACAGCACTTGCCTAGCATGTGTAAGACACTGGGTTCAATCCTTAGCACCACATAAAAAAATAAACAAATAAAATAAAGGCATGCTGTCTATCTACAACT